AATTTATCCTGCGATTTAATATTCTGTATTATATATATATATATATATCCTACATCAAGGTCATTAATACTTGGATCGCAGGAAAATTACACCACAGAAATTGTTTATTAATAAATTAAAAAACTTTAATTGTGAACAAATAAATAACAATAAGGTACTTACAAAATTATACTGCAATTACCTAGTTTCTTAATTTGAATTTAACGTTTTGTCTCTATGTGTAGTTTAAGATCCCTAAACTAGATAAATTGACGATAACAAGTAGAGTTCATTTAACTTAGAAATCTTCTGATTTGATTACGTATAAATTAAACCACAGAAAGTGATTAAATTGTGTGTATTTATTAATCAATTAAGTTATGGTCAAGCCCTACTAATACATAAAAATATAAAAATAAAGGTAATGTATAGACGTTATTCACATCTAAACTACAACGAACAGTTTAATCAGTTATCTAAACTTAATATCATTTATAATTATTTGTAATTATGGTTTTACGTATAACTTATTTAATTCGTTCCCAATTCGACTGTATTTTTTTATGTGTTTGTTCCGCTATTTCTTTGCGAATTGTAAACAGATTTTTATGATTTTTTTATTGGATAGGCTATATCGAAAAACTATTTTCTATTTTTATTATTTATTATTTTATTTTCAAAGCAGGTCTTTGTCTCATCCGTGAATAATTTATATTCCAGAACATCCGTAATTCAATTTAGATCTAGAATAATTATCTTCTTTAATGTTCCCTTTTTCAAGTTTTCACTATCTCTTTCGCTCTTGTATTCAGTTATTTTTGGAGTTGTGATCAGGAGGCAACAAAAACACATAAATTCAATTCTGTAAAACGGGGATGAAACTAGTTACGCTGTTGGTTAAATTACGAAACTTTTGCCGCGAAATCGAATTTGATGCTTCTGATTGGCGTTTTATACGCGTCATCAGTGCTTCATGCAGTAGCTTTCGCAACTTCGAGGCAAGCTGGAAACGCTCTCGGTTCATTATAAGTCGATAGTTGTTCATAGCGGTAGGATGTGTTTTCGCGTCTTTTAAATTTAACTTACTGAGCTAATTTTTTCGCAGAATTAAATTTTTTTTTCTACGTGTAATACCCTGAATATTTAGATTGATTGATTCATACTATATTATTATTTTTCGCAGTTGTCCACAGCACAAATTAAATTGACAAAATTGTTAAGGTATGTCTTGAAACAGACGCTACGTCGCCATTTTAAAATGCCACTTTGTTCGTTTTTGACAGTGGTTTTTGGTTACGTGTTTTTGTTTTTCATTTATTTAATACGAGTGTTTATTTCTTTTTTGTTCATTTATAATTACTATATGTATCTTGTCTTGGAAGAGAAACCACGCCACATCGCCATTTTAAAAGTAACAATTTTACTTTTACTTGCTCTTTTCTAAGTGTTTTTATTCTATTTCATTACTTATTTACTTTATATAATAGTTAATTTGTTTTTCTCTTTTTTTACAGATTGAAGATAAACTAGTGAGGAGATTGAAATTCATTTTGATGCTACTATGGTAAATTAAATTATGGAGCATTGGTTGCGTTAGTCCTCATTTGTCCTCAGAAAGTAGTTGCACCTATGGTCATAAGGAAAGCACGAAAGTGCCTCTTTCTCCATTGGTAATGGAGACAATGGCTGTTGCTGAGGATAGGATTTATGACAATGAACTGGTATGTAAAAGTATCAATTAAAAACACTAAGTGAGGTCCTTGAAATTTAATTTCTTAGACAATTGTAACTTGCTTCAATAGAAAACTTTTAAACAACATTCTAGATGTGGCAGATCCAGAGTTAATGTGGAACATATCTTTTCATAAGTGTGAATGTTACTGATTTACTTGTTTTAAAAGTGGTAATTAATTACTGTTTTTTTCCCCTTTTTTTTTATAGATTGTCTGACAAGCGAGAAGGAATTAACTTTGGTGCTACTTAAACAACCGTCGCTTTTGATGCCTTCATCTTGCAACATTAAGTATGCAATTAATTTTGGCCCTGAAAATGGAAATCAATTTGGAAAGCAGTGAAACAACAAATTGTCTGCAGTGGCGCTCCTCCTAGATTTGCTCATCATACTGGTAGCCCCTTACAATAAATTATGGTAAGAATACATGACAATATTAATTGCTGTTTATTAATCTGTAATGGCATTTGTTTTAACAATTATCTATTGTCTACAGTATAAATTGACATTTTGGCGTATGTATAATATTTCTTTTAAATATCTATTGTTCACAACTAT